TGTGTGTGTGTGTGTGTGTGTGTGTGTGTGTGTTGAAACACCAGCCTCTGCTGCTCCACACTACAAACACAAGACAGCATTTAAATACACACTCTCTTAGCCTGCCCCCTACTGTTGCCCAGTCCTGCTTTCAAACACACATGCATGCACTTTGACACACTCTGGGGCAAAAAGAGCCCTAAAATCCTCCATGGATGAACAGAATTATTGTGGAACCTAATTGTTGCCTAAATGAGTCTCTGTGGATTTTTTTTCAGCTCCTCTCTGCTTATTAAAACCCAATTAAGCAGTTTGAAGATGGATGGGTTTGAGGACTTTGTGGAGCATACTGCCTCCCCTGGTTTAGTTTGGTACTACACCTCCTCTTCTTTTTGGTCTCATTAGCATATTTTAATAAATGAGCTTATTAACTTTCTATTTTTTTAATTAGCCTTTTCTGCCAAGGAGCCTTATTTTATTTGTTTATAAAGCTTTGTTAGTATTTCTTAATAAGATTTTTTTTCTTTACAAACGATGCTGTACTGCTGAGAATTAATTTTACCTGAGGCCCTAGTACAGATAAATGCATTTGAATAGAAATGACACATCTGGGGTTTTTCTCGTCATATATTTTTTAAGTCAAGAAAAATAACTTTTGTTTTTGTTTGTTTAGAAAATTAGTGTAGCATGATTTCCCACCATAACAAGTTGAGTAAAATGAAAGAGGTTTACATTTTTTGAATCCTGCAGAGTTTATGCTGAAATAATCTGACCTCACACCTTCACAGCCCAAATCATTCCCCACCTGACTCGATAATCTGGTCCCGCACTTCTCAGATTGACCAGTTGGTGTCGTGCTTTCCTCATTTCCTCACTGGAGAAAGACTCAATTGTTTTGATTTAGTGACATTAACAGTGAAGATGCTTCATAAATAATATAACAATGCATCAGTCTTTTATAGTTATTTTTAGGACACTCAAAGATGCTTAATATTATTCATTCACACTCAGATTCACATTCTTATGATGATAAACTGCAATGTAGCCACTGCTGCCCTGGGCTTTAATCCAGAGGTGGGAAGTCCTGGTCCTCGAGGGCCGCTATCCTGCTTGTTTTACTTGTCTTTGCCCAACACACCTGATTCAGTGATTGAATTACCTTTTCAAGTTCTGCAGAATCTTGTTAATCACCCATTCATTGTAGCCCCCCAGTACCATGATGGCCCACTCCTGCTTTAGTCACTGTGTATTAATGCAGAAACAAAACAAATCACATCAAAAGCATGACAGCTTTCTATGGATGTTTCCTATGTGCGTTCTTACTGGTATAGTTAAACTTTAAATCAGATAATAGATATGCTATCAACTAGGGGTGGGAATCTTTTACTCTCTCACGATTCAATTCTGATTTTTGGGGCCACGATTCGATTCAAAATCAATTTTTCATTCAAAACTGATAATGTGAGCCCATTTGTCGAGTTCCCGAAGTGCTTCATCTTCATTTTGCAAACCTTGCACAAAGTGAAGCTCATGTCAAACTCGGACTCATTCAGTAAAAACCAAAATGAGCCCAAATCTTATTATTTAATGAAGACGGGGGTCAGTTGAAGCTCTCTTTCCTCCAGTTCTGTAATTTCCTCTTTGTTTTGGTGCTTTTTTCACATTCATATGTTCCAGAAACAACTGCGTGGTGACGTCAGGACGTCCCATGTAGTTACAAAATGGAGGCTGCCAGCCATTGGATTTGCTTTATATTTTTATTTATAAAAATCGATTTTGGGGGCATTTTAAATCGATTCTGAATCTTTGTAAATGAGAATCACGATTCTGATGTAAAACAATTTTTGGTGCACCCCTACTATCAACATATGTTTACATACTTTTTCTCTTTYTTTCTTTCTTTCCCTGAAGCTGAAGTGAGTTAAGCGTCAGCAAGTTGAGCACCGTCGATCCAGAGGCCTCTCCTTCCTGTCCTTCCAGCTCCCCCGCCCTCCCCTCAGCCCCGTCATTCTGTACCTTGCTCTTCACACCTCAAGTCCGCTCATTCCTGAAGACACACAGGTCAACTACCGACCAGGATGATCACCTCGGAGCTTCCTGTCCTCCAGTACGTGCCGGGAGATCACAAAAATAAACATTTGTTTTGATCATCACTCTCAAAGGTTTGCCTTGTCTGTGTTGAATGCTATAACGTCCTGTGTTGGTCTCATTCAGGGACTCCTCCAATGAGTCTGGGGCAACAGATGCCGTGGGTTTGAGTCTGAACATGAACGAGATGGAAGATCCGGAGGTGAAGGGAAAGAAGAAAAGAGGCAGGCCTGGAAAACAGGCGCAGGTATGAGCCGCAGGAAAACAAAGTTTGGATGAATTCATGTTACTCGTTGTCTCTACCCTGTCTGTGTTTAGTTTGTAGTTCTGTGCATCATATTTATGATCTCTGCCAGAAGGTAAAGGTGGGCGATGGTGTTTTTGTCCATGTTTGTGATCATTTATTTGTTTGCAAAACATTTCTGAGGAAACCTGCAGAAAGTATTTACCTGATTCACATTTGGAGTCAACTGAGTTCAAGATGGCTGCCACAGCTAAGTGAAAACCCAAAGTGCTTTGTCTCAGTAAATTTTATAGACATTGACCTAAAATTTGGTGTGGTAGTAGTAGCTGAGACTGATCCCCAACCCATACTCTGAGCTCTAACAGATGGCACAAAATCTTAGCTCAAAATTTTGCCATCAGCTATTTTGAGTCAACATCTGTTTGCAAATAATCTTCTGGACCATTGGACTGATTTTTAGAAAGCCTTCAAGAAATAATTATTGGATGCACGTCTACAATTGATTCTCTTTTGGAGTCAGTCCAATTCAAGATGACCCCTAAAGCCAGTCAAGATAACTACAATAACTACACAATAACTACAACTCAGTCAACTTTACAGATATTAACCACATACTGTGAGTGGGGCATCTGATAAGATTTGACCAAAACAACTGTTTGTGAATGGGTTAACTGAAGTAAAAACAAGTTTCAATGGGTTATGTTTTTATGAATGAGTTTGTCATTGATGTTTTGTCTCCAAAGGCGTCCAATAAGAAGCCACGGAAGTCGCCAACAGACAAAGCCATGGGTATGGTCAGAGGGCGGGGCAAAGCGAACGGTGTGGCTCAGCAGAATGGAAATGGCGGAGACCCCGTCACTCTGTTTGAAGTGGTCAAAGTGGGCAAGAGTGCAATGCAGGTGGGTGTAAACTTGTGTAAAGTACTGGCTCCTATTTTGARGGCCTAAACTATTCAGAGTTTTATTTTCRTGTTTGYCATCAGTTTTGATGCTTTTCGAGATATAGAGAGTTTTTATTGCTTGGATTGTGGCTGTTTACAGTCTGTGGTTGACGAGTGGATCGAGTCGTACAAACAAGACCGAGACTTGGCTCTGCTGGATCTGATCAATTTTTTCATCCAGTGCTCCGGCTGCAAAGGTGAGACTACACAACTAGCATTGAGTTTTCTATCATTTGTTACAACATTTAAACTTGTATTGTTTTATGAGAAATGACTGTTAACCGCTGCTGCTGGAATGAAATGTTCCTGATGCACTTTATGTCTCTTTGTAACCAGGCACTGTGAGGATAGAGATGTTCAGGAACATGCAGAATGCAGAGATCATCCGTAAGATGACAGAGGAGTTTGATGAGGTAACGCTATGTTTTGATTAGTTTTTGTTTTTATTAAATCTAAAACCTACAGATCTATAGGCCTTTTAGCTGCACTCATGCACTTTGTTTTTTTGAGCTCTAATTTAGACAAGAACTTTAGGGCCTCAAGWATGAAATTTCTCATCACTTGGAGATATTTGGCTTTGGTGATAAATGTGTACCTAAACCCAGCTGTTTCAAACAAAGAGAAAACTGTTTTTTTCTCTTCTGTAGAGCAGTTTCTCTACAATCCCTAATCTAATCCACATCTGTGACACAGATGCACATTTCAGCTGCAGTATAATCAGAACAGATGTTCTGACGGTTCGGTTTGTGTCGACAGGACAGTGGAGATTACCCTCTCACCATGCCAGGCCCAATGTGGAAGAAGTTCCGCTACAACTTCTGCGAGTTCATCTGTGTTTTGATCCGCCAGTGTCAGTACAGCATCATTTATGACGAGTACATGATGGACACAGTGATCTCCCTCCTCACCGGACTGTCGGACTCTCAAGTGCGAGCCTTCAGGCATACGTCCACGTTAGCGGGTACTCTTTGGTTTAATGAAATGTATAAATTAACATATTTACTTACCACTGAACTCAATACGTTTGTTTTTGTCTCTGTGTAGCAATGAAGCTGATGACGGCGCTAGTTAACGTTGCGTTGAACCTCAGCATTCACCAGGACAACACCCAGAGGCAGTATGAGACCGAGAGGAACAAGATGGTTGGCAAACGAGCCAATGAGAAGCTGGAGCTGTTGCTACAGAAGAGGAAAGAGGTTTGCTTCTGTTTGATAATAAAACTAACGCACGTGATGTTTTTGCATTGTAAGGTCTGGCCAAGCAGATGTTCAATCTCAGGTTCTGCATATTTGCCATTATGGTCCACGTCCAGCCTTATTTCTGGAACCCAAAAACCTGGGGTTCTGTTTAGGCCTGCTGGGGCCAATTCAATGTCGTCTCGCTCTGTTTTAACTGGTGTTGAATTCTACTGAGAACAAAGACAAGTATTACAAGCTCAATGTCATCCATCATTGTTTCTCAAATAAAATGACATCATGTAAAGATCCCCGCCCACATTGAGAAGGCAAAACAAACACAACCAGGGGTAGAATAAGGTCAGAGCAGGCCGGGCCTTACAGTGCAAAAATACCATTAGATTTGAACAAAAGCTGGTCTTTTTTATGCAAGAAGAGATTTTCCTTAAATGTTCCCTTTTCCCTTCAACAAAAGTGGCTTATTATATAAAAAAAACTGTAAAAGTATTGCTGAACTTAAAGTAAAAATAATGTTCCTCCGTAGTATGGAATATCTGTTAATGTGTGTTTTTTTTTTTGTACAGCTCCAGGAAAACCAAGATGAAATCGAGAACATGATGAACTCCATCTTCAAGGGCATCTTTGTGCATCGCTACAGGTAAACCTGCAGTGTTTCCCCTACGTTGACTGGCTACAGAGTGAAAGTTGTTTCAATCTAGCAGTATCAACACAGCGCTCTGCCCAACCAAAATAAGTTTCAAGATTTTCTCATATATACCTGAAAGATTGTGTCACAGGGATAAATCCTCACAATTTCTCCCTCCTTCCTGCTTTATGTCGCGCAAGAGTAAAGCATATAACAACAACCGTAGTTGTTTTTTCTCACTGGAGTCTGAAAGCTTTTTTTTTTCTTGTTAACTGCAGAGATTAAAAGAAGATGTTGATGT